GGGTGTGGGGACGTGACGGGGATGTGGAGCGCGAGACGGACGTGGGGTGTTGGGCGCGGTTCATGGTCACAATGCTTCTCTCACTCTGTTTGCTTCACGAGTTTTACCTGGTTACTTGGAAGCAGTAGACGTAATTTCGTCTCTCCAAGGTGTTGCTGGCGGAAAACAAGTTCTATTTTTTCGCCATGTGTTAACTTTACAAAATGGACGGGCAAGATATATGAATAATGTCTTTAATTTTTTTTGCATTTTGAAATAAACGAAGCGAAGCAGAACGTGTCCAACAGTCTTCGTAATTCGAGTAATTTAGCTTCTTATTTGGTTTCTCTCTTTCTTTCAACTGATGAGGTAAATACCGTGTTAATCATTCGGTTGAACCCTATGGCGTGAGTTACCTCCTGTGTGCGTTGTTTACACTACACCGAGACCCTACTTCCCATAATTCGTTTCATTTCCATCGACCGCATTCGCTGGTTCTCTTTAATTGCCTTGGTCTGGGCGTAAACGACTCGCAAAAACCACCCGTATCACGTAAATGGCCGACATTATCGATAAGCGTCTTGTCAAGAAAAGAACTCTCATTCGTCTGACAGTCTTTCTGGGATGATAGTAATTTATTTGTCTCGTAGCAAGGTAACAAAAGCTGAGCGGATTGATCTTCCAAAAATAGAATCATCATGATGCAAACGTTTTAATTTAGATGATATTGTTTGTAATTATATATGTTTATGTTTTCTTTCCGTTCCTTCCTAGTTAAATTGTAAAATCTCTTCATGTACTTTCCATCAAGTAATTGTGTCCTTTGTTGTTAAATGCAATTGCGGAAATACTGTTCCGTTCTGTACGTGAATAACAGTATTGTAGAGAACCGTAAGCAAATTCGTGATTTCAAATGGTCACTAAGTATCTGGTGCTAGCGGCTTCTACTTGGAAACACCGAAGATAAAAAGAAGAGCAGAGACTTCTTGATTCATTGTATAGCATTCCGGTCGTCAACGGGTCAGGTCTTTAATGCCGTAAGTGTAGTACATCTTTTATTGCGGGAGATGGTGGTCATCTATGGCGAGACACGGCGCCGACCTGCGTCGGCTTGCTGATTTTCCACAACCAGGTATCTCCCATAATAGGGACCCTAGCTGGAACAAGAGAGTAGTAAGTAGATAGGCTATGAAAGACAAGAAGTGATAGAACAGAACAGCTTAGTGATGACAATTTAAATTATTGAGGAAAAGAGATACTTTAGAAAAAAGTACGAATATTTGTCGATCGTCTGCCCAGAAGAGTACAAGAAGATCAACACAAGAGTAAAAAGATAAATAAGGAAAGACATGACAAGCCACAAAATAAAACTAATTGAGAGAATAATTAAGAATTCCAAATTTGTCAAAATTATCAAGAAAGTATTAAAAACATTGGATTGCTGAGGGTTGAAGATAAAGAAGGTAGAAAAATCTTAGCGAGGAATGAAATTGTTGAAGCTGCGACACTGTATTTTAAAAAATAATTTACAAGTGAAGCTCCAGATGATACAATTGAAAAAGCGATAAACTAAAACGAAGACCAAGAGGATCAATACTCTCCTATCATTCTTATGTGAGGTGCGTACAACTATAGAAAAACTAAAATTAAGAAACAGCCCAGGAGATGATGGAATCACAACCGAACATTTGAAATGTGGTTTATCTGAACTATCAAAAGAAATTACGGATATATTTAATAATATACTAGAGAAAGAAGAACTTCCTAATCAATGTTGTTAAGCATCATCACCCTAATTCACAAGGAGGGAACAAGAATCGACCTAAATAACTACAGACCCACCAGTCTGATGTCAAACTTATGTAAGGTATTTTCTATGATAATCAACAGAAGAATAAGAAGAAGACTTCATGAGGAACAACCAACAATCTGGTTTTAGAGCTGACTTTCCCACAACTGACCACCTTCAGGTAACGAATCAAGTTATTGAAAAAGTACAGGAATTCAGTCTGAAACTTTGCATAGTCTTTGCAGATTACACTAAAGCATTTCACTCTGTCGAAAACTCAGAAATCATCATAGCTTTGGAAATGCAAGGGGGTCAAGGTAAATTAGAATTTAGAATAGTATTTAGAATTTTTCAAAAATTTTTCAAAAACGCAGTAAGCATCACAAAAGTAAAAGAGAACGAGAGGGTGAGCAATTTCGTTTGAGTCGGGGAGTGAGCCAGGGCAACCCAATTTCACCTAAGATTTTCACGTTTGCTGGAAGGAATCTTCCGTTCACTGAAATGGAAAGAAAATGCTGGGATTAAAATAGATGGAAAATATTTAACCAACCTAAGAGTTGCTGACATTGTTTTGTTCGCTACATCAGCTGAAGAACTAGAAAATATGTTTCAGGAATTAAATAAGCAAAGCATAAAAACAGGTCTACGAATGAATCTACAAAAGACAAAAGTAATGACAAACTATCATGTGATTATATATGATAAATAAATAAATAAATAAAGTGGTTGTAGTAACTCCGGAATTCGTGTGGTGTTGATTGTAGAATCCACGGAAGAGCAGGGCCCGATCAGAGCAGTCGGCTGCTAGAATTGTCCTCTAGACAGCGGCGGAACTCGAAGTAGCTACGTATGTAGCTGGTGTCGTAAATTCGGCCACCGTCGAAATTCGACCCTTAGGACCTCCCGGTGACATCAGTTGATCCTCTGAGCCACATAAACCGGTCTTGGCGGCGAGCGCTGCGGGCGCCGGAGGGAGGCCGTTTCCGCAGATGGCGCTGCGGGCGCATTGAGTGCAAGTGGTGCGGGGTCGGAATGCTTAATTGTGCTTGAAGGCTACGCACCTCGACTTGACGATGGTCATATCGTACTTCAAGATTTGCCGCCGCTGCTGAACCGGGTTCAGACTGCTCCCTCCATTTCATAACGCCGTGTGCTGCCTTAGGTGTTACAGGCCATCTACTAACATTGTAGTGCTTCTGACCGCGAGGTCAGAGAGTTCGAATTTCGACGGTAGCCGAACTTTTGACACCTATGGGCTCAAAGAGTCTAGACAGACGAGTCTGATGTTGTCCCGAAACTTGAAGCACGCACTGTCTGTGTTTCAAGTGAGTTCAGTATTGCCTTGCTTCTGACTGCCAGTATTTACCCGTCAGTATGTCCTAAGTTCCTGTTCTGGTGTAAAATCACTTTATCCAATATCCTTAGCGGGTTGTTGATAATAACATTCTTGTTGACATAAATTGTTGCAAGTGAGAGAGAAAAAAGTAGACTGTATACTTAATCTAGCATTTCTTGAGTTCAAGCATCTTGACGAACCATGCCTCGAGCTAGTTTATGGATTGAAACCGAAAAATGCAGTTGTAGGTCAACAGTTGCTTGCCGCTTTGTTCGTCCACCTGCTTCAGTTGGCCGCTGCCAGCCTACTTTCTCTCTATTTCTGTTTTTTTAAATTTATTTTTGTTTTTATGTGATAATCTTGTAATTGTTCAGTTTGAATTTTGTACCTACATGAAATAAATCACGAGATTCGGTATTGTCGAGCAAGTAAAAAAAAATCATTCAATTAAAAACCGTGTTCAGTAAAAACAAACGTCCTTGCCTTGAAGAAATTTGCAGATTATAAACAGAAAAACCTCTTTCTGGACTTCACTAACTGTTCGCAATATTGTTTACTTTCTTGTAATTATTAATAAGTTTGTTCACATCACTTGTGACTCTGCAAAAGTGCAAAAAGTTACAAATTTAGTTGCAACAAACCTCATGAGAAAATATATTTTTTTGAAGACACTGAGCTACATTAATAGAAAACAATCATGTTCACCGTGACTGCCTATTATTCATGTTCTTTTGTTCACTGCAGTCGTCTGAATTAGAGATCTCAACCCAAAAGGTTTTTGTTCATGCCCTTTTCAATTTTTCACGTTTAAGTTGCTACTTACATCTTTTAAATTGTCATTTACCAAAGAAAATAATGAAGTAAAATGTTTTAACTACATACTCAGTCTCTTGGCTACTGGGGGCCACGGCACGTCCTCGAAAGCGAAAAAAAAGGACTCTGGAAAACCGAACGCACATTACCATTAATTTTCCAAATCGATTACTAGTACCATCGACTCTTGCAACACGGAACAGTAGAGGAATTATCGACGCAGTTTCATTTGCATTGAGGCGAAAGGAATGTGGTTCCGTGGGTGTTTAATTACTGTTCCTCTTGGAGAGAAGTTACACAGATATTTTCCCATTTATTCACTTCGGAGTTACTGTTCATTCCCTTGATTAAAATTACGTCTTCGCCTGTATATAATTGAAAAAAACGGAGCAGACCCATATTTGGCTGCGCAGGTGAAACGGCTAGCGGCGTCTGGGTGTATGCGTGACTCTGTAGGAGAGGGTCAATGTGGTCGAGAGAAATATTTGGTGGGGGTGGGAAAATGCTACAGTTGTCTCTCCCCCCTCCCCTCATACAAACACACACACACACACGCACGCGCGCGCGCGCGCAAGAACATACACAAATAAAGCAAGAACTGACTGTTTTAAATTCTACAATTCTCAGATGAAAATTGTAAATGTTGGGCCAAGTGACGGAGGAGCTTGGATAGCGTACCTACTCTGTATCGGTACTTATAGGATCATAGGTTGGAATCGGCTTTACTTTTTGTCGTGTGTCTTTCGTACGTGTTATGTAGCTGTCGTCTAGATCTAGGACATAGGAACGAGTACAGACGGAAGTAGACTATAATGTAGATTTGCAGGAAGAGTACGGTGTGGCAAAGTGGTTTGACAGTATATTAATTGGCAGTCCTTCAGAAAAGTTTGAAATTATGAAGAATTAGGATTCAATTTGCGGTATATTACGTATACTAATGCTACGAAAAATGATGTTCTGTCGCTGTAGATTCATATTTTCATCTGCACTTTCTTTGGGCTGTGATATTACAATAATTTAAGACCACAAGAGTTAATTCATTTCACATTATTTGTCACTCAGAGCACAGCCGAAAAAGTGAAAATGGGAATTCTCTTTAACCTATTGCATGAAAGGGCGGAAGTATCCATACGCAGACTGAAAGTTAATCCAGGCTCATGTGGATGGGGTGGGTGTGGGGTGGTTGCGGAGGCGTGGTGGGTGAGTTCCCACCGCTGCGCAGCCGAATGCCAAGTGCTCATTTAAATTGCATCGCTTCGACGCGTAGTGGATTATGCAGAGCCAAGCCCCCTGTGCAACTTAGTGGCGTGGTCACTCGCTTCGTTCCGACGCGTGTGCACTCCCTCATCTACGTAGAATTTACTGTGAACACGCACCGCTTTTGCTCTTTCTGTCGTTCCATCACGTCCTCCAGCAGCATTTTAATTAGGTCATGTGTTTTCTCGTATTGGGCTTTAACGACATCTGTGAGGAGATGGAAAACAACAATGCCTTGTGGTACAAACGGTTACAGAATCCCTTTATCTGTTCTTTAACCAAAACACACGGTATTGAATTGAAATTCTAACAAGTGATAGCAAAATCGTGTGTCGGAAATGAATTACGACGAAAAAGTAACTGGAATTGTCTTTCACAGCGATTCATTGGATTATTAATTTCACATTTCGGACCATGATGAACACCAGGATCCTTAGAACCTTAACAAAGTGTTTTAAGTCTGTGAAATCAAAGCACTTTGTTAACTTTAATCCAAACACAGCTGTAACGAGTGTTCCTATCTTTAGTCGTTTCTCTTTCTGGCGTTTCTCTCAAGCTTTCTTTTTTTGCTGTTGGATCGTTTCCTCTCCTTGTCACAAAGACTACGATCACCTTCAAGTCCCAATCATGTTGGTTCAATGTCCTCAGCTAGGCACAAACTTCATCGCACGGTGCGTGCGCGCACAGCAGACAGCAGGCGGGGCTAGGCGGGGCAGGGCGGGGCGGGGCGGTGAGAGGAGCGGGCGGTCCAGCAGCTGAGCGGCAGCTGTGCCAGCGCTGCCGTGACGTCATCGCTACCGCCCCCCTCTCCGCCCTGACGTCACGACTGCGGGCACGCACCTGGGGGCGGGACGGCGCGGCGGCGACACAGCTGCGCGAGGGGAGCCCCACGAGGCAGCGGCGGCTGTTCATTCAAAACGGGACAGTGCGTGCGGAGGCAGCGCTCGCGTGTTGCCGCTGTGAGCCACAGGAGCGGTGGCTGGCTCCTAAGTGATGCGGTGAAGGTGTCTTGCGAATGTTGGTGCGGGTTCAGTGGTGTATTTTGATCGCGGAGATCAATGTTGCGGGTGAAGTGCGAGTCGGAGCGGTGCTGGCGTCGGTGATCGCACAGGTGGGAGGCCGTTTGTCCGGGCAATGACCTTGCCGCGCAGCACGTGGGGGCGTTGTATACAAGCCGTCGGAAGAAGTGAGAAGGCGACAGAGAAGGCAGTGCACTCGCAACCGATAGACAACCGCCTTATTCTTCGCTGTGTTCGCTGTTCGTCTTTACGAGGCAATCGAGGTACGCATGTGGATTGCGCCAACACTGTACACTGCATTGCAGTATACAAAATCACCAAGCACGCCGCATGTCTTTACATTAATAGGACGCGAGATAATACACTATCTTTACTGTATGTGTAAAAAATATACTCACTTGTCGAAATGAATTTTTTTTTGGAAAAAATAAGTATAAAAGTAAAAGAAACAATTTGCGACACAAAATAACATTTACTTCGATTATACTTCATGATGTTAATAGTTATCTACTTAAATTTAATAGAAAATATGAAAGGCGATATCATGAATCGAATGTGAACATTTTCTAAATCGGTTCTTGTTTTTCCAAGCTGAGGTCAGCTTTGATCAGATTTTTGAGTTAATAACGATGCCGAACTCATAGGCGATCATTCGATGAATGGTTGCAAATCAATTGTCAGTGTTAAGTCTCAACAGAGGCAGGCAAAAGTCATAATACCTCAAACATTTCTACCGACAGCGCAACAAATTTCAACAATCAAACCTGCTTTTGTATTTCTCGACAAATTCAGCAAATCGCCTCTTGAATGAAATAAGTTTTAAACAGTTCTCGAACTAATCACTTTTTTTCAATAGACGTTCTTTTCCAAACTAATATTGTTGAAATCAATTTGACCATGATCTGGATAACTCGTTCACTGCAATTTCCGACAACATTTAATATATTTAAACTTAAGAAATGAAAATACGAGGCATTGGTTTTTTAGCGAACAAATCATACAATTCCTTGAGTATCAGTGCCACGATTCGTTTTCCCATTTTTGCACAGCCCTCTGTATGTCAGCGCGGTGCGCGTGATGTGGGGGCGCGGGAGCGGGGCGTTCGCGTGTTTATTTCCGCCCCCGGGCCGTTCGCGCGAAGCGGTTATTTTAAGGCCGTATCTGTCAGCGTTCCCCGCCTCGTATGTGCGCTTGGAAGACCTGTTGTCCGTGGGGCGGGACGAGCGCAGCTGCTCTCTGTCTGCGGCCCAAAGAGCTTCTCCATATTTACTTATTTGACTTTCAGATTTTATATTATTTTATTACTTGGTATTAATTTTACTTTAATATGCATCAATCCACATTACAACTTTCCATGCGCTAATATTAAATAAATTGTATATTTCTATATGAGTATATACTGTATAAACTCTCTATAACGAACCATGTTTTGAGTAAAATCTTCATACAACGTAGTCATTTAGTTTCGTTGATTTACCTTAAAACGTCTACAGGGATGCATTCTTTTAAATAGAAAGAAAATATTCGGACCTTTGAGTTTCTTTCCGAGTTTACGTAGGGTAAGATTACATCAGCTCATGTAGTCATATGTAAATATCACCATACACATTAGTGTTATTTCTGTGCCACAAGGCATAATGTTTTCTTTCCAAATCATCCGCGAAATCGCGAAGTAAATCTTTGGCTTCCGTGTTAGAGCTGATCGTCGCTTTTATTTCTCTTGTAGCTTTTATTTCCCTGGTCCTTTACCGTACATATAAATAGAGTAATACTATCAGTGTAAAGGGATGTTGAGGAGGATGCTAACGGAGTCACCGTGGACCGCGCACTTGGCAACATCGCATCATGCGGTCGCACGCTGTCAGTGGCAAAGTTGGATCCCTAAATGTAGATTCAAAAACACGTGTTTATGTTACTCACAGAATATTGTTTATTCATGGTAGATATCTCCTCTCTATATCTTTTTCTCTCTCTTTGTCTTTTTCTCTCTCTTCTTTTCCTCTCCCTCCCCTTTTCTCTCTTTCTTTTCTCTTCTTACCAACGAAATAATCATTTCCATGATTCCATGCAGACTTGATGTCGAACGTGTTATTGAAATATGCTCGCGGGGCACAGCTTTATTATAACGTCCACTGAGTTCCCACTGAGTTGGCGACCTGTTGTGGTCTACTCCAACTCGTGAATGAAGGACGGAAGGGCATAGTTTCCTGCACCTGACGATGGAAGTTAATAATGTACAAAAAAGATGAAAAAATCTGTGAGAATTAAATGAGTTAACCAATTAAACTGCCGGTAGCTCCAATAGCAGTTGCTTTGTACGGTTGTCCCTTCATCATTTCTTCCCTTCCTGAGGGGTCGGCGCTGGGGGAAGGAGAGCGGTGCAGGGCGGAAGGTGTGTGTGTGTGTGTGAGGGGAGATGGGGCTAGGGAGCCTGCGCTGGAAACCAGTTTGTGAGGTGTTGGGGTGAAGACATTTCACTGAACTGACGGATCGATAATGACGGTGTTGTTGCCGTACTGCTGGAGTTACTGGAATGACGGCTAGTATTTCGTCGAACCGAGGAGAATCCACGGCTCGACGAAATACTAGCAGCTGAATACATTTGTTTATGCTATGACTGAAAATAGTTAAATTCAGTTTCAATATGGTTTTGAACGGTATTGGGTTAAATTGGAGAGCGGGGTATGGATAGGAGAAAATCTAAATTAAAATACTTCTGGAGTTGTGTAATGGGTAGGAAGTAGTTGATTTCGAAAAACGAGGAGAGAATCATGTAGTTTAAACTTTTTTTCGGTGTAATGTTTTATTTGACTGTGGAAATTTCGTGTTGGTTCGTTTTGCAACTCAGAATTATGGAGGAGGGTTGAATTCTGATCTCAAAGTTTGGATTTTCTTCTGAATGACGCATTGACGAATGACTGCGTTGACTTAAGTAATCGCAATTCAAAGGGAGTTCTACATTTTTTTTGGAAATGTTTGACCAAGAAGTCATTTTATTCGTTTTCCAAAGATCATTACGTATCAGTTAGAAAGCACAAATACAGTATGTTATTGACTTGATATTAATTTTTTTTTTCTGTTTCATGTGGTTTTGCATAACTTATTGGTAAATACTCATGAGAAAAAAAACTTGAATGAGTGAGAATTTATGAGCATCTTGTATAGAAAAGAAAGGTAATAAAATGTTAACAGATGCATGTCGACCGAGGGAGCTTATTGAATTACTGTCTGCATGTTTTATTTGGGTATATATTCTAATCACGTCGAGAAGAAAGTCATTGCTAATTCCATTCTCTTTCTGTTGCAGGTAAGTGGCCACCGCCTGCGAGTCCTGTGGTGAGTGAATTACAGACTGCGCCATGAGTGAATACTCAATGAGCTGCTTCGTCCGATTCCAAAGAAAGTTTATTCAATTTCGCTTTATTTCACAGTCCAATGCTCTTCTCTCTCCACTGTACGTGGCATGAATGTTTAATAAGTTCGAAAATGCAGATAACACAACAAGGGTAGCTGAATTTCAGAGTTCATGGTGAGCTTCTGTCTGTACTTGTTCCATGTTGCCCCTCTTTGAAAGCTAAATTTCGCTGTGCATTCTCAGCATACTATATCTATTCATCTGTTGATTTGAATTTCACCTATGATTTCAATTGTAATTAAACCTCGGTGAAAGTACTCATCTTGCAAAAGGCAGTAGATTTGATGTTTTCTACGTGTTTTTTTGAGAATTTGAGGCAAAAAATCTCTGGAACACCTACGCTGAATATGTAATCTAGGAATAATGTGGCGTCTCATTATGAGTTTTATTATTTCCATATGAGTATGTAGAAAGTAATGTCATTTGTTATCAATTAATAAATTGATTTAAAATTGGATTGTGACTTGGGAAGGTAACATTAGTAGATCATAGCGTGCTTCTGGAAGCTGAATGGAAGGTCGTTGACGCACATTTGTTACTTTGCCACAGACATGCAAAGCTCTTTTCTGGCATCTTCTAGCCTTTAACTGCAGGGCAGCTGGGAAGCATTTTGTGTCGCATATGGATCCGCCCTGTAAGTGAACTTCGAATACACAGTCAGGGTGCGTTGCAATCCGTTCTCGGTGCTTCCACTGTGGAGGCGAATGGGATTGTAAAAAGCTACGTGTTATTTATTAAATCGCTGAAACATTTCCATAAATTGTAATTTGGGATCTTTTTCTATCAAAATGTGTACAATTTATTGCTTAATAATAGTATAGAAGAAATAATCTGCAGAGATGCCCCTAAAATCTGATTGTATGTGAATGGGGTGTTGAATATAATGATACATGATAAGTTTCGATCGTTGAAGCACGCAATTCTCGAGGCTTTGATGCCATTGGAATCCGAGCAGTTATTAGAAGTGACTGGCGACATTATGCCCTATTTAATTCCCGCTCCGGACTGCCCTTCTCCGAACAAGCGGGCAGTGTATTCGTGTTAGGGCGGTGGTTGGCGGGCCGAGATGGTCTGGTGATAGCCTCGTGGTCGCCTGGGAGCCCGTCAGCACGGCGCCGCCCCGCGTCCTCTCTCGCCTCAGCGCAGCGCAGCAGAGGACGGACGGAATCTTCCCTCTCTGCCCGTCTCCAGCTGGGAATCGCCCGACTGCATCCCGCGGTCAATTTTCCCTCATCTTCGCTTCCCAGCTAACCCCTTTTTCTTTTCGTTACCTGAGAAATCATAGCCCGACTGTACCCCATTTCGTTCATCCGGTGTTTCGGTGTTTTGTTAAGTTTCTGTTCATAACAGAGTGTGAATATGGCAGAATCTTAGGAATTGTGTCTGTTGTCAGGGAGGTAATAAAGTGCTCGTGTTAGGTTTTAAGGTTTGTTTCCACAAACGTTCAAACGCTGGTTTTCAACGTTGACCATGCTCTAAAGGAACTAGCAATGTTTCTTGAAAACATAAGTGGATCAATTTTAATCGATCAAATAATGCTGAGTAGAAAGCGGTAATTTCCAGCTGCCTTCTCATCCTACCGCTTTTTCATTCGTTTTCCCACTCCTCGTCCTCTTGCTTTTTCAGCAAGGGATTTAATTGGGTTTTCAGAACCTGATGCATTTCGTATATTGCATGTTTTATTTCGTTTTTAGCGCTATTGTCCCAATCACAGAAGCCAACCCACGAAATTTAGTGAAACCTTTTTCAACACACAACAGTATAATTCTTAAAAAAATAGAGCGTTTTGCAATGTAGGAGGCGATACCGCTGTCACGCCGTCTTTTAAAGATAAGTGGGAACAACTCTTGAAACGCAGTTTGAAATCACTTAAGAATCGGCACAGGAGAAAAATATTTCCCATGGAATGTGCCTCGCGAAATTTCGTTCAATTTAGCTTTTGCCTTTATTCCGCAACTTTAGCATAGTTTTAATTCATTGATGAACGAATCGTGAATGAAATAGAATATTTTACTTCATTTATATTGTTTTGGGAGGTAGATAGCGGATAAATTGTTTGTTTTCCTTATATTTTTGACAGAAACGTTCTTATTATTAAATAGATACAGAGTAAATGTTGATGGACAAGAGACCCCTAAACTGCTTAAGGAAAATGGGTAATGAAGTTTGTTGAGCCTCCTTTTTCGCTTTTGCATTGAACTAAATTACGTAATTTAAATAATTGCTCCTTTAATTTTATTTTTGCTTGGAATGTCTCCAGCGCTTATCGCTTCAACTGTTCGTAAGCAGACGCAGGGGGGCGGAGTGGGTGGGAAGCCGGCGTTGTAACGCATGTCTTTAATTAGTTGCCTGAGCTCGGCAGCGGCCGACATTCCCGAGCTCAGCAAAGCTCCTATCTCCTCCCACGCCTTCCCAAGGGGAATGTGCGAAGGGCAGCAATGCAAGGAGTGGGGATGAGCAAAATTTCCTAGATTGCACGCGCATACAAAAAAGAGTTCTTGGTAAATTATTTTATATGCCGTAGTTCAACATATTAAAACTCTTTTGAAGTGTCGGAATCTTTCAGTTGAAATAGTCGCTATTTTGTCAACTAGTTGCTCATTCGTGCGATGTTATATTTCTTTTCATTCCGGGAACGATCCTTCTCCACGGAAATGTAACTCTGACTTTTTTCTTGTGCAGGGTAAGTCCTTTCAAGTGGAAAGAATTCACCACCATGTTGTCCACAATTAGATGCACAAATGGCTCTCAATTAAATTTTGCTGAGAAACAAATTGTTTTTTGATAATTTCTCTTCTGTAACGACCAGAAGTATTCCAAAGGTGAGACGAAGCCCTGAGGACAGTTTCTAAAATTGTCGAAGAAAAATATACTTTTTTGGATACAAATGCAGGTAAAATGCAAAAATGTGAATTGCTGAAATGGAGTGCGAATTACGGAGGCTCTGTATCGTGCGCGGCCCTGCGATCCCGCCCCGAGTTACACGGTCAAAACAGCCCGCCCACGGCTGCTAGAAATCCAATGCATTCAGTCGTCACAAATGACGACAATAACGTCCCATGTCAACACTAGTGTTTTGAATCTTGAAAATGCGCATAAAGTTGCAGTGATATTCAGAATGCGACAAAATCGAAACTACAAATAACACTTCCTACAAGAATCTATGCTTCTGAAACCAAAACGGTATTGGTAATATTACGAGGAACGCGCTCTTGGTGTGATTTTTACAGCACGAAAGGACTCCTCTTATAATAAGTTGTTGATACGAGAGTGTAACGTCAAATAAATAGTTGTTGAAGGGGGCATTTCTCAGTGCGTGGACCGCCAGTGAACCAGCTGCCTGTTGGCCTTGAGTGCTCCAGCTTATTGGGCGAAAGAGATTACGTTTCCTGTGGTTCCCACGAGAAAAAAGCACCATTGACATCAAGATGGATCTGAACCACCCTCCCTTCATTAGGACCAGAGCCAATGTGAATCCGTCCTTCACAGTCTTGGCTTGTGATAGTGCCTTTCCCAACTTTCCTCGTGCCATAAACGTATTAAGATCGTCTTGCCATAACATTCTGATTTCGAAGTAATGAATAAATTACCCAGTCACTAATTGGCGTTGCCGGAGCCTTTCTGTGGAAAACATGCAAGTGCCGAGTCAAAAATATTTCAACATTGCCTTCTCTAAGTTCACTCGTTTTACTTTCTTGTATATTCCTGCATTGTAAGAGAAAGTTATGAATTGCTGAAGGAAAAAAGTGTGGAGTTACCGTCAGTAAAACACAGTTTTGTAGGTCCCTGATAGCGAAATCGTATGTTTTGCTTCGTATTTTGCTTTGTAAATATTTGTTTTGTATATGTATGTTAGAATCCTTGGGGGGGGGGGGTGATGCCAAAATGGTGTTTTGTTTTTCAAAATGTCCATCTGTCTCTGTGATCGTCCGTCCGGATGGGCGATCACGCAGACCCATTTGCGTTTGTCAGTCCGTCCCTCGGTCTCTCCGTTTGCCTATGAACAACACCCGCACCTAATCCGATCCCGGGTTTTTAATCGAAATTAATATATCTCAGTCGATCTGAGTCATGACGCGACCCTTCGAATTTGAAACGAGCTTTTTAATATTTGGATGACCTTCACATACAGCCCTCAGTAAACCCGTTTTCTCGCAAGTGTCAGGTTCCTGTGGCTGCGCGACGCGCGGAGGGAGGGTCGCGACGACGTGGCCGGGGGCGGCGCGCTCATTTGGCGCAGAGGGATATTGCTGCGAGCGGCCAGAGCTGTTTAGACAGGACCGGTTTAAGGGAAGGGCTCTAGGTAAAGGCAAACTAGTTTCGTCCTTTGCATCATTCCACTTCCAGAAAATAGAAACCTGAACATTTAGAATAGGGCGTCATTTGCTATTCTGCGTCGGTCAATTTGCCGTATTGCGGGGCTTTGGATTTATTTATTTCGATTCTTTGTGCTGCACTTCTTAAATTTCGTTGTAAGTAAACACTGTCTCTTTTTAAAATTAGAACATTTTCAATTTTGTACTCTTCACAACGAAAATCATTGTTTTGTTGTAAATGTTCGTATGTTAATCTTAACAAGTCGTTAAACTCAACAACTTTTTAACTTTAATATTTGATAAACAATAAAAGCAGAAAAAAATATTCTTCCAGCCGCGTCTTTGTAACAAATAAAGATTCATCAACCACTCTGTAAGAAATATTAGCGCGAGAAATGAATAGCAGCCGGTCTTGAAACCAGTGTATGATTTTCCACCCGTATTTCACAACCGCTTAAATTACCTGAATTGAAAAAAATCCTTTCCACTTCGTCCTCCTCTCATTCCCATAATCAGCAAGAATGATCCTCTCGCCTTGCAGCTCGTCCTCTCCATCGTTGAGGCTTGCGAGCTGGCTAGCGTTCATCCGCCACAAGTGGAAGTCCTCTGGCTAACGTGCCACCGTGGGCGGGGCTCCAAGCCAACCGCATTTCGCTTCTTCTTTGGTGCAGCGTGGATTGGTGTGGCGTGGCGCGGCCTGTCAAGGCGACCTCCGCCGCAGCCGATCGCGTCGTTCGGCTCCTTTTTAATTTATTCTTGCTGCATTTCCGAGATGGTGAACTGCGAACACCCGCCCACACACACCCTCGCCCACGCCGTCTCGAACCTCGGCAATTTTTCCTGCCTGCCCGACGCACTTGTCTAGCTCCTATGCTCGTCCTGTTCCCGCGTTTATACCACAATGTCTGCTCTTCACCTTCCCCTTCGACCTTTCTTTCGCCCTTCCCATTAGGCCCACTTGTCTTCTTGTCTTACTGACCTCTCCACCTGCCTCCCCTTTTATTTCATTTATTGCTTGTACATAGTGCAGTTTACACTTTCATGTGTTTTGTTGACTTCTAAATTAAAAACTCTGCCTTACCTAGTACTATTATTTCTACTACCATATTGAGGTACATTCCTCATTAGAGTACCAACCAATTACAATTGTTTGAGAATTGCTTGAGGAAGGAATCGAACGGATATCTATTGTTTATTCTGGTTTGTGTGTTGTACGTTGAGGCTAAATTATATTGTTTAGTTGATCTGTTGAGTTTTTGTTGGAGTACAAGTTGTTGGATAAACGAGTTATTTGGTGAGTGATTGAGTTCATGCGTAATTGTCTATGGACAATTACGTTGTTGATTGGAATGAACCACGGAACGTTAGTGACTATTCTGAGGAATCTGCTCTGGACTACTTGTATTTTCTTTACGTTGGATGGTGCGGCAGTTGAGCAGATGGCACATGCATATAGCATTATAGGTCTTATAAGTGTGTTTTATATTGTTATTGCATTTGTTAATGGCCGTTTGGTGTTTCTATATAGTACTGGTTTGGACTGAATTAATCTGATTTTGGCCTGTAGTACTTTAATGTTTATGTGGTTTTTCCAGTTCAGTCTTGTGTCAAGATTTAGTCCTAGGTATTTGATTGGTTTATTTGGTGGTGTCCAATTTGTTTGGCTATTGTTTATTAGTAACGGCTGGGGAGCAGGGAAGGGTCTTATATTTTTGCTTTGGATTTATTTGGGTTTGATTTTATTTTCTATTTTATTGCCCAGTGTGTATTTTTTTAAATGTTACTGTTAAATGTTTACTGTGTGTCAGCGTGCAGCTTGGTATGAATATTGCTGTATTGTCGGCGAACTGAACAATTTGTGTTTGATGGGATATCTGATATGTAATGATTGAATAACGCTGGGGATAGTAGTGAGTCTTGTGGACGTCCTGCTTATATTGTACGTGGATTGAAGCTATGATTATCTATGGTAACTGTGAAAGATCTGTCTGATATCGTGTGATGTTTAGTAAGTATTTAGGTGTTTCTATTGTTTTGAGTTTGTAGATTAAACCAGGGTGCCAGACTGTCGAAAGCTTGAGATACATCTAGGAGTGAGAGGGTAGGCTTCCGCGGCCGGAGTCAGTATTTGCTAGGCTGTCCAGGTGACGCCGCGTCCATGGCGAAGGTGCCGACGTTTCGGTCGCCATTCTGCGACCTGCCTGGGCATTACGGCCTGAGGAAGGTCGCAGAATGGCGACCGAAACGTCGGCACCTTCGCCATGGACGCGGCGTCACCCGGACAGCCTAGTAAATACATATAGGAATATTGCTATTGTGTGTTTCTTTTCTTGAAAACCTGTCTGACTGTTTTCAGTTATCCTAGTAATTGGTGTGCAGATGAGATGTGGTTTCTGAAGTCAAAATGGTGATTTGGAATTGCTTCTGTCTTCGTTAGTGATCTTTTTATAGTATTTTTTCAAATATTTTTGAATGAGTTGGGAGGGGACTTATTGGTCTATAATTTGCTGCGAGACTCTGATTTGTGTTTGCTTTAGGTATGTTTGCTTTAGGTTTGCTTTAGGTGATTATATTTTTTATTTTACAAGTTATTGGGAAATACAGTATTTAAGTGATGAATTATAGATGGTGTTTATACGGGCAATTGCGTGTACGTAGATTTTTTAAATATTTTTTGCTAACCTGTTACCCTGTTGTCTCCCTTTATTTCGTTCTTTCTAATCCTCTTTCATGTTCATACTGTCGTCCTATCGAAGAGATAAGAGTAATATCTTTCCTCTGTGTATTCTCGCTCACTTATCCGTCACCTTCCCCTTTCCTTCCACTGACTGGCCGGCGCAGTTCCAAGCCATTTCCTTCTCCACCCGCTAAAGCAGCCTTAGCCATCGCCACGCTCGTCTTCCATTGTCTTCGAGGCCTCGACGTTTCTCGTGCGGTGCATTTGGCCGTCGAAGACTTTGTTATCCCGAACTCATCGTTATCCCATCGTCGTTGGCCCCCGTTCCTGCGACCACCTGGGACAGAAAGCGGCTCCGTTGCAATATTCGCCCGAAAGATGCTTTGCTTACAGATGGCGCCCAGGAGACTGGTCGAGTGTGTCGGATTACTTTTTAATGACGTGAGCTGAGGAGGATTTCATGCAGGGTGTCTTCTTCACGAGTGCATCCTCTCTCATCAAGAGTTGCCGAATATTACTTGTTGAAGAAGTCACTTCCGTAACACATGATGCAGTAAAATTGGCGGATGATATTTTTTTGAGAATTATTTTTTTTTTGTTTTCTTGGCACAAAACATCTTTTGTAAAATTTTTATGTTCCAGCGAAGCAAAATGCCAAGAATGGTAAATTTCATCAGGGAAAAGCAGACGTATCTATTTTGTGAGTAGTATCATGAATACTTCAGTCAAATGGTGTGTTCTTAAACGTAAATAACCAGACCATGATATTTAAAAATACATTTTTATTTCTCCGAAAAGTTGAGAGCCATATAGTATTTCAAGCATATTAGTCGAGTCGTAACATTAGAAATAACCACACCACTTTGAAGTGCTCAGCCACAATAGAAGACAAGTATAGCGGGGCGTAAGTCCCTCTTCTCCTGCGCATTCGCCTCGCTAGTGGGTGTGAGGGAGCGAGGAGGGGCGAGGGAAGCGCCTCCAGGGACGCCTCCTTGGCGCCCCACGCCCCGATGACGCCCGCCTGTCGTCGCCCGCGCCCAGCTGCCCCCGCGCCAGCCCCAGGCCTCGCCCCCGCCCCGGCACCCTTGACGCAGCTCCGTGTCAGCTCTTGCCACCGCCCCAGCCCCCCTCCTTCGTCACGTTTCTCTCGTCTTGCGCCCTTTACTGTCTCCGCTCCGACCTACGACCACTAGCGGTCTCCCGCATTGCGTCCCCCAACTGGGGAGCACATCTGCGGTTGCAAAAGTTAAGATGTTGAAGAGCTTAGAAACTTCGAGCTTAGTAACTCGTAGTTAAAGAAAATATACAGGAATCGGTAATCCCTCAAAAGTATGGTTAGTTCAATATTACTTGTTTACTTTACTTTTACCCCACGGCATAAAAGGGAACTACTTCATTTACAGCCTTTATCTAGGGTCATACACAGGTATTCATGCATGCGTGCGCGGAAAGGAAGCAATTAAGATGCGAAAGCAATTATTATGAAATTTGCCGAGAAGAGTTGTATTAGTGAACTAATTGTAAGTTATTTTTATTTCTTGTGTTAACTAAATACTTCTTTAAGTGAACATTGAAATAAGAGTGACTGTCTTTTTTTTTTTTTGCTCGTGAATAGGCCAACATGAACGACACGTGCATGCACCCTGCATTTACCTGGGCTCAGAAACATCTCGGTGGCGGGTGCTTCTAATTTGTCAGGGGATCAGCATTTAGCCAGATCCGATTTTACCCCCCAGGGTTGTTTGCCCGGATGTATGGAAGATGAAATGATGGACGACACATTCACAGCACCACCATGCCCGAGGTGGGACGCGAACCCGCGATCTTCTGGTCCGAGACCGCTACGGCACTACTGCTTTAGCGATCTCGGTTATCTGATCGGCGAGACTGACTTTATTGAAATATGACAGATACTGGGATTACGAACAACCAAAAGTTTATATTTAAATGGTAGAGATGGATATTCATCGTTCAAAGTTGAGTTATGAAATGAACTTATAAATCAGCATAATACTTTAATGAGGTCTTATTATTTGAAAATTCAAATCCGTCTAATACCAGATTATTTCAGTAAATTCATGTACATAAGGTATCATTATTTAATTCTCAAGCCTCTTTCCACGATTTCTTAATATGAAATCTTGTGAAGCTTCATCGACATATAGTTGAACTTTCACTTGTCCGTTTCCTCTTGTGCCTCCCATCAACACCATATTGCAATTTCATTTCCTTATCCTACCATTCCACAGCTAATCCCTGTCCCCTTGTCTCACATCATACTCCCTTAGTTCATCGTTCCCCCGGCCACATTTTCAATAGACCATACGTCCCACAATTTCTTATTACGTTCAATGTCTAGCACTCATCAACTACGTTTCAACGTATTTTGACTCTCATTTCGCGTATTCTTTTTTAATTGTTTCTTGTTCCTTCCTCCCATTCGGGGTACCTCTTCTCTTTCGACGTACTTCCACGTCTGTCGCGCCCGCAAGGGTGTTCCTGTTCCACAGCACCGTCCGCTTTGTTTTATTTCGCTTTCGTGGAGGACGGAGCCCCTACTCCGCCTTCGATTTTCTGTCGCCGGCACAGACTTCATAACTTCCTTAGTCCCCGGACCAAGATTCGAGTTTATTGCTGCGTTGCAATTTCCCTCCTGGATTTGGACGTTTTAGAAGCTCTGTTGAACTACCTGTAGAACACCATAAAGATATTTCTTTCTACCCCTCTCCACATTCACACTCAGGGGAGACAGACATAAGGGACAGAGGAAGAGAATGTTGTTTGTTCTTCGTATTGGATATTCTCCTTTTTGTGTATTATGTGACGCCCTTTACCACAGAATTGTGTATGGGTCGAGCTACGTGATGCCGCCTATTTCAATTTATGTGGCGCGAAACTTTTAGTACTATTTTCTCCTCGGTCAGTAGTATACCGCTGCAATGAGGCCCAACATTCGAATAACAGACACATTATAAAATGCGCCATTAAACGCGTCCGCGTTGGAAATGGATTTGCCCGTGATTTGTTTGCGCGTTCATTTCGTTTGATCTACGAGCGCTTCGTTCATTAAAGCGGAGGCAGCGCGCACTTCGAGAGATTTTACCGCCTGCGCCGGCGCAGCGCTGCGCTGCCGTGCCGGCATCACAGCAACAAAGCGGAGCGTTGGGGAAGTGGTATTGAAGGATGTTTCAAAAACTAAATATCTCGCTTTGGAGGAGGTGGCAAAGGGTGGGTGTGATTCAATCTTCCCCCTCAATGTTTACAGAGCAGTGGTTTATTTGCCAAATTATTTAGAGAGTTCTTGGCGGCATGCTGTTGTAAAGATGTGTTGATCATAAACCGTGAATGCCCCAGCTATGACATGTCAATCTCACCTTTGAACCGTGGATCAGTTTTGAAATTTCAACAGCGTCACGATATGATCGATAAATTAGTAATTCGTTTCCTGCTTTGCCCTCAGATGTACGGTTCGCATCGTTACAACTGCATAGGGCAGTGCTCCTGAGCGAAATGACGCGGTCACGTGCGACTGCGTTGATAGAGCTGCCGTAATTCTCTTCCCAAATCCATCAATTGAGAATTTTGCTTTCCTTCGTTGGTTTCTGAACGAAGCAGTGTTTCTCCGCGGCAATTTTAAGCTCTATGCTCACCGTTTCGACTCACCATAAGCTCAAGATTCTGAACACAACGGAAGAAGCAGAATTCATTGGCAAAGTGATGTGGAGTACCGAGTTTCTTCAAAAATGATATAACTAACATTTCGTCAACTCATTGTGCACATTGGCTTTGTATTTGCATTGGCTTTGTTTTCCACCTGAATTGACTCACATGCATACGTAATGCATATGAGAATATGTAATGCAGTGTTTCGAATTATTGCAAGCGTAGGCATTTTTTTTTCTAGCTAAAAAAATAAATGACTACTTCTATTCAAACTTTATCTCCGACGGCTACTCTAATTAATGTCTCTCTTCGATGAACCAACGTAACTGTATTATTATTATTATTATTATTATTATTATTATTATTATTATTATTATTATTATTATCATTATTATTCAGTGGGGTTTGTGAGGGCGGATTAATCAGTGATATCGATGTTGCCATTCTCCTCGCAAGAAAGTATCAGGCTTATGAACACTGCAAAGGGCATTATCTGTTAGAAGGCAGCTTTCCTTCATCTTTGCCTAAGTTAGTGAGATATGATCGTAAGTATGTTAACAGGGCACGAACCACGACCGGTCGGATATTCATCTCCGCTTTTGCCTTTCCGCAATTCGGGAAATAATCCGCCTCTATATCAACTTCGCAAAAAATAATTTCGAAAACTTTAAAAATTGCTGCACTGAAATTCTGGAACGTGTTAACAATTTCCGATATGTGGGAACGTTTAGAAACGCGGAATATTTTCGATTTGTGCTGCGTTCAAAGCATTGCTTCATTAAAAAATGTATCTCGTCTTCAGTCGTACTATGACTCCAATAGTCGAATTGTCCTTGGCCAATGTCGGTGGCATACTGATGGTGGTGGAAGCAGTGCAGATGGGGAGCCAGGTAGTGGCGAAATGAGGCCACTGTATGTTGCCTGCGCCGCCCCGCCGGGCTCATCAGTGAGCTGAGGGGGAGGCGGTTGCCGCGATCGCAAGCGCACGATGGCCGTCGCTGAACAACGGCGGCGCTGATTACAAATGTTAGGAACGTAATTACTTGCGTTGCTCCACTTACTGTTGCTAACAAATAGAAACAATGCCACTATTTATCGCAACAATGCCATTATTCTGTGATGCCTTCCGATTTGTAACTAGAACAACAATGCTATTTTGCGCAGCAATGAAGATTCTTTTCTGCGGCAGGAAAACGTTGGATTACCAAAGGTTTTTTGTTTATCTTTTACTCTCAGTGGTGAAGTGGAAATGAACTTTCAGAAAGGAGAAAAGCAATCTAACACTCATTTGGAGGAGATGGGAAAGGCGCTAAGTGGGAAGTGTGTTTTGCAAGAGAAAAACTGGGCCAATCATCACACGGGCATGGTCGGCAGCAGTGAAACATTTGTCGTATACAAATGACAATGTAATGAAGAAAACAGTACTTTACAAATATACAGAAAACACCAAAATAGATGTAAACGAGACAGGTAGTGTCGTGACGGAAGTGGCTGTCATTGCGCTTAATGATTTCGAATTGGACTTATTATGACGCTGTAATCACCTTGACACAGACACACTATGCCTGTACTTTGTTAATTACGTAATTTAGGGACGAACCTTGATGCTTATGAGTTTTACATAAAATGGCCAATCGTAAATGTACCCAGGAACGATGGTTTCATCTGAGATGTGAATGAAAAAGTCTGTAACATAGTGGTGATAAATATTGAGAAGGTTAAGGATTTAAGGAACTGAATGCAAGGCCTTAGAGGAAGAGCAGAAAACGGGCAGTAATACCCGTTGCAAGAAGTTATAGGGCATTAGCAGAGCCATAGCATCTCACAATCGTATTCCCAACACTTGTAGACGTGGTCTGTAAAAGTATTTTCCCATGAGGAAGCGTGCTTCGCCAGTGCGGCTGCGTGGGGGCGGTGGCGGTGGCGATGGCGTGGGCGCGACGCTGTCATTTGTCACCCGAGCAGTGCGCGAGGCCCCAGCGCAATTGATTCGGCCGCAGAGTGGGGTGGGGGAGATGGATGTGGGAGCGTGCGCTTTGTTGTGGAGACGCTGTTCAAATAATTCCTGCGCTGCGCCGCAGACGAGTTGCTCATGTCACCATCGATTCGGCTAACAGGACCAATTGCCCTTCCAGCGCCCGCGCCCCCTCCCAATTTCTCACCAAATCTAGCAACATCCTCGCACACCCAGCTCCAGCATTCTATGATTTACTCCCAACCTCACCCCTGTTTGTGTGCTATCTGGTCTCTGTCCTCAATTTGCTACTTCCAAATGTAGGCGGATTTGTATCGCTGAGTACTGCATCTCCTCTCGTCTACGTGGTTTCGCCTCTGCTCTATCTATTGTGTTGCGTTCTTTTTGTACAAGATCTGTTGCTTAATGTAGTCTGGCAAGCCCCACAACTGTTTGGAATGTGATTTGTGACCGGAAATAGGATTCTCGTTCACTGAACGTGAGTATTCGTTTATCTCCTTCGTTTCTTCTCAGAATCCTTCGTGTCTTTCAATGATTTTTTACTTCCTCCTCCTCCTTCTATTCTGTCTCCCCGCTTTGCCTCGTTCTCGTTCATCTTGTTTGCTCTTTCTCCCTCGATTTTTCTTTCTCTTCCTCGCCCTCTTCGTGACCCTTCTCCATCTCTTCGTCCGTCACCACCTCCACTCTCTCGTCCTCTTCCTTCTCCATCTTTTGATCTTCCTACCTCCATCCTTTTCCTTCGCTTCCTCCTTCCCCTTCTCTTTCATCTCCCTCCACATTTTCCTCTCCTTCTTCTTCATCCTCGACTTCCCTTTCTTGGTTCCCCCTTCTCTTCGCCTTCTCCGCGCAGGGATTAAATTAAACGAGTTGCGGAGCTCCTAATTCCGCCTGGGCTTTGAGCCGCGGCTGCGCCGTGTACAAAGTGCCTCAAAGGCGGAGCCTGCCGTCTCGGTTACCCGCTCCGCCGCCGCCGAGCCGGCGAGCCGCCTCGCGTATTTATGAGACAGAAACGGGACCGGTCGCCGTCTCCTCGTATCTGGAATTACCCGTTTCGAAATCTGATAAGATTCGTCTACTCTTTCACGTCGTGCAACACAAGGGGTCTTCGCTTTAAAGCTGCGCTAAGAAAGTAATATATCCTGGGACTTCGCGCTCTCGTAATTTCGTTGGGACGTCGACAAGTACGTCTTTGACCCGTTAGTTTAAAAAAAATTGATTTTGGGTGTGTCCTTAGCATCTAATCGTTATGGGGGAATTATTATAGAAAGAATTCAGTTTGCAAACAACGCCCTCAATCGATTACCTTCTTACAAACTGTTTCCGGGACGTTCTTAGCAGTATAATATGACGGACTAGCTGAACAAGGTTTCGAAAAATATGTAAATTGTATATTGTCAAGAATGTGTTTCTGTTATAAACATTTTAGGCAATTTGTTTAATCACTTCATGATTATAATGTTTGTTTTCATTTTCGGGTTAAAGTCTATTCTCGCTTTGTTTTCATTTCATGATACATAAAGGTATAGCAATTTTCTGTGGGAGGAACCGATATCATAAACGCTTCGTGTACGTTTACACATCAAACAGAACTCTTTAAAACTTCACTCTTGCAAAGTATCTCCGCCAGCTATTCGAAATACGATATCTTAAGTTCAGTTTGAGTTTCCGATCGGTCCACCTTCCTCCTAGCTCCGCTGAACCTGTTTGAATTCCCTCGACTTCATTTGCTGCTTCCATTCTTCGCGCGTGCCGTCAAGACGGTGACCGCCGCCAGGGGTGTGGCACTGAGCAGGGCCGTTGGACCCCGCGCAGGGGCGGAACCGCGTCGGACGATCGACACGCGAGACAGCCTTCATGCGTTTATCATTGTCCCGGAATCTTGAGTAATTAGCCGAAGAAAATCTGTGACAAAACGACCACACTCTCGCTCTATATTGTAAGAATAATATTGTAATCGTTCTTCTGCCTCTTTGGTTGCTACTAAACACATTGCCCAAGAATTTGTGGAGGAATGTAATGGTAATTGATTGATAATTTAATTTAGTGACTGATTACGTGATTATATCATTGTATTTGATATGCCCTTATTCCCGGAGGAGTGTTCAAGTTGCGGATCTATATAATCGTGCCTTTCGCCAACAAGCAGGTACTCTGAACTCTACCTATGAACGTATAGAGATAAGTCTGAAGTGCATGTAAGATACAAATGGTACACCACGCGACTACACGAAAATGGTAAGTTCCTCCAGAAAATAGAATTTTCTCTACAATGCACAGCACCACTGGAGTGGTGGGGCGCAACGTTGACTGCGGTATTAATGGCGTGTAGTGGTACACTTCAAGCACAATGGATTCTGAGATAGTAATTGGATATTAAAATGTGTGAATAATCTTATCTGTAACGTGTAATTCAGAACGTACGTTCAAATGATCATTGGCGCTCCATTCCTTCAAGGCTCTTCGTGAGGAAGTTTCGCGATTGTGTTGATGTTTGCCTTGTGCATCCCTGGTCCGGGGCGGTCCGCTTTCCACAAGCACCTGTCACCTGCGAGCTGGCCGAGGGGGTGGCGAAGGGGCGGGAGGAAACTGGAGCGGCCTGAGAGCGCGCGGATCGGTTTCCCGCGCCCGTAAATCCCGCGCCGCGCCGCGCCGCGCCGCGCCGCGCCGCGCCGCCGCCCGCGACAGCGCCGCCCGGGTAGAGGGGGTGCCGCTATCATGTTTCGCCTGAGCCGGCTTCGTCTCCCGGCGCCACGCTTCAGGCCTGCCCCCACCCCCCGCCAGCAACCTAGCGTGACTTACCACCCGGCCGACACGACGCGCGTACGAGACTCAGCGTCCCGTCCTCTGCCCGTCCCTCTTCACCCCCTTCACGCATCCAGCCACCAGCGACGCGCTAAAAGCGCTGCAGGCGGTCGTAGGGACGCCTCGCAAGCAAGAACTTATTGCTGTATCTACAAGATGTAAATAATCCATTCTCTTCTATTTTCTCCCCGTCTTCAACATTCGAACTTAAACAGAAAGTGTCACGAGTGATAATGCTCTTGCCTCTGTATTAACGCGTATCTTCAATATTGAAATACGAAACTTTCTTTTCCGTTTAGCTTGCCATACTCTTTAGTATAGTCAGTCTCTTTGGTCTTTTCATCACATCCTTAGACGTTTTATAGCTTTTTAATTCGCTTGTCATCTCTCTCTCTCTCTCTCTCTCTC